AGCAAATTGCACAGTGAAATAGGAGGTACTTCAAATGCCAAACCATAAAGCTCTCTAGGACTTGAACAGAGAATCAAGATGACRTGATTACAAAAACAGCACAAAATAGCTGGCTAAGAAAGAATGATGAGAGTGTCTGTACCTGGAAAAGGTTTAAAGCTACAGAAAGAGTGTGAAGGCACTGAAGTCACAAGCGCAAGAAAAATGTGCATTTCTTGATGTGAAAAATACAAGCGAAAATAACAAAGAAACATTACCTGTGGCACTGAAGAAAAACAAAAACAAATTTGCAGTCAACTTTGACARGTACCCAACACTGAAGTTCAGCTAATGTTCTGGGGAGGAAAAAAAGCCCCAAAACAAATCTCAAAACCTACAAACTCTGTAACTTTAAGTGCAAGTTACAGTGAAGATACATACACAGTGTGCTGTGTAGCTAAAGTTGAAAGACAACTCATATGTAACTTACACTTTGACAACACATAATTAAAGAAATGCATTCTTTTAATGACTAAATTCAGTATGAAGGTCTWCCTCAAAAGAGAAGAGGGGGAAAAATAAGGTAATTGCTTCCTAAAACTGGTCCCTTATCAAAAGGTACATACAGAACCGTACTTAATCACCTGCCAGCCTTCCTGCTGAGAAAGCTTGAACTTCTTGTACTACTAGATTTGATTCCTACTCCTGGCAGAATTATCTGACTCCAAGAGCAGGCTCTGATGACCACTTACACAATGAGTTATTATGGCACATGACTGTGCTGACCCTACAATATATAAAGGATCAGATCATTAAAATGTGTAAGCATATGCTCGTTTTCATTGTAGTCTACAGCTACATTCACATGTGAATGATTTTGGGAAGAGGAAAATCTGAAAGAATCTACAAAAAAAAAAATCTTAAACTTCTACTGAATGGGGAGTATCCCTGTGCTTTTTGCACATGTTACTCTTTCCACAACCATGTCATTCTTGGCACATCGTAAGAAATACCCAGCACGGTGCTTGACTGCTCCTCATAAGAGCTGATTATACTCCCACAGCCACTTAGAGGAAAATTTAGAAGTATGAAGTAACTACCTACACACCTACATTTTCTGTTCATCTTTCAAAGCAGGAAAACATTAACTTAAAATAAAAATAGCCTGTCAAGTGAAAATTAATTTATTACACTTAAAATTATTTTAGCCACTCAGTTTTCCCCCCAGTCTTATGTGCAGAAGGCCAACTACCAGCAGTGACTGCAGCACCAGTTAAAAGCACAAGATTGATGCTGGCACTCTTATTAGAGCTGAGGTAATTTAAGAGGAATGTCAGCACAAATTTACTTTTCAAACTTTATTACTCTGCTTTAAGAAGAGAAAGAATGCCCGTTATTGTAATTTTAAAAATATTTACAAAATCTTTGGTATCTGGTTCTAACCACACAGAGTTAAAACCAAAATGCTAACAACACCTCACATCATAAGAAAATAGAATAAGAGAAAATATAATAAAAWAAAGCCCCACTTAGTGAAAACAAATTTTTTAAAGAGAAATGTGGTCACTCTTTAGATAAAATTCAAGGCTACTGTTGAATTAGAAGAAACTGTATATGGACTCCTCTTCAAGCAATGAGCTTGTGAATCCCACTTCCACAGGTATCTGAGCCATTTAAACCCACTTTCCTTTGAATGTGCAGRTTCCTACCATGGAGACCCAAAAGGGGATGAAAATCTCAGGCTAATGACACCTACACCAGTGATGTGCTGAGATCTGAGCAACAGGCCCCAACCAGAGATGACCTGCAAGATGGATCTTGGGTACTGTGTGACTGACACCAGCAGCATTATTTAACTAAAAATAGATGACAAAGACACTTACACTAGCTCTTTATAACCWTGTGTAGTTATCTGAAAGAAATGTATCCTTTTAAGAAACTTAYCCAACTGACATGAACAGAGGTTTACTTGTAGGGTATTTTAGGGGAAACCCTCCCAAGTCAAGACCTGGGCTCTGGCCAAGCCCTGGCTRTGGCTGGTTGGGAAGTTGCCATCACACCCAGGTGTTTCTCTGCTAAAAATATTATCAAGTCACTTTGACTTGCTGATTTTAGGCCTATAAAAGCAGGAACCACTTTCAGGGTGAATTTGGAGACCKCACCTATGGGTGAACACACCACATAGGACTTTTCCAGTTGCTGGGAACCGTTCTCCAGATCCTCATTGCAAAATGGGGCTCCCCAGKGACTGTGGACTCTGGATGATGGTAAAATATTTAGGCAATTGGTGATRTATCTTTCTCAATCACTATCCTTTCTCTTGCATAGWAATGATTAGGTGAGTTACCTTACCTTGCTTATTTTTGCTTATTGCTAAAGCCAAGAATACAGTTTTAGTGAATGTATCCTTTCACTTTTGTGTTGTCTTAAAATTCTTAGCAAARTAAGACCATTCTTTCCATTGGTGTCTGTATTCCATAAATCGCCCCCATTAATTGGCAGGACAACCAGAGGCAAAACCTTAATTCTGAATCAGAGGCCACGTTCTCACCCTCCTGTCTGCAGAATGAATTTCTTTTCTTTTGGTAGAGAACAATGTAACCTACTTTTAAATAATCTTTATTTCTCTTTAAAGAGAAGGATGATGGAAACAGTCCTGGTGGCCATTCAGTAGTGACCTTTTCTCACAGTACAGGGACATTTCAAAAATCACTTCCTCTGTACCATGAGGACCTTCCAAAGTCATCTCTAACAGACATGCACTTTATTATTASAGAAACACAGGAAAGGAATGCGTAAGTTGAGCAGAATAAAGAAGCAAAAGGGAACCATGTGGTTAAAGAGGCAATGTACTATTTGACTTTGCAAATAGCAGGCAACAGAAAGACCACTGAGGTACCATTAWGCTTTTCCTATTACACCAAATACCATTTTGAACCTAACTATTTGTAATAGCAGCAATAAAGATTAAAACAAAAGCCCATCCTGTGCAGCCAAAAAGGAATTCTAGCAGAGGGAAGCAAATGAAGAAACAACAGTTTATTTTCTCTATTCCCTCCTGTTCTGCCTAATGCTTGCTGTTAGGAAGGGACTGTGCTCAGGTGGTGGTGCCACTCAGCCCCTGCCCTCTCAGATAAGGCTCCCAAGATGATGCCATTTTGAGGTAGACACCTGTCCACTGGCAACAAGCATGAGAGCATCAACTGCAAAATCAGGCTGCCACATGGCAACATCTTTCAGTCACTACAAAACTTGCTTCCAAATTGAAACAGCTACCAAGAGGTGAAAAGCTCCATATCACATTTCTAATCCCTCCTCTGCAACTTTTTTTTTTTTTTTTGGTAATGATTCATGTAAGTTTTCCTGGTCTTATAAAACTTGTTCCCTTGAAAATGTTTCCCAAATTGCTTTGACTTTCACACAGCAAGTATTTTTACAACACATGCGAGAAATATTCTGTTGCTCRTTATCTATTTGATAAAATATACTTAAGAAGAAAGGTCAGATAAAAATTGGTATAATGTGGAGCTCTAGTGGTAGTGAAGAAGTAAAGCAGCACATAACACCAGCCATGCAAAAGTAGATAGTGACATTTGGTAGGAAAACAGGATGTGARAACATCATAACAGAAACATTTAAACAAGGAAGAAGAAAAAGGGAAAGAGMTTAGCAGCAAATTCTACATCATTTCAGGCTCACAGAATGCATCTCTGCAAAGAACATGATGAGTAACTCTCATTTCTGTGCAAAAGCTGGCATCTTTTAACTCACTACAGTTAAGCAGCAGAAAAAATAAGATTGGTTTGCTCATGTTAGCCTTGAAGGAAAAAAAATATATACACTACAGCAGGAAACCAATGCTCCTTACCAAAACTAACTGGGAGTTGAGTAATTCTATGCACTATTTTAAAACAGTCCATGTCATACATATTGTCCTTTCCATGATAGCCATGGCAACTCCTACACCAGCCAGTAAATACTCTGCTCTCRGCCGTATCAGCACCAAAATAGGGTACCAATCACTGCAGGCAGCTTTAGCACTGAGATTCGGTACTCCTTTCAGACTGAAGAGTTCTGGCAGGAATTAAATCAAAAACTAGGAAAGCTCCTTCCTTTATACACAAGTACTATGGCACATCCTGCTGGCAAGCATCATCAGCTTATGTCCTGTTGACAGTCAGTATTCCACCTGTAAAGGAGATGGTTTTTCACACAGATTCAGAGGTCATGTAAAGCATCCTCTGCATCTAATGTCACCACAGAGGATGCTGGAATTCCAACATCCCCCTGTAAAACACTGGCATTATTTTCTTAACTTCTAGGATGCTAAATGAACTTGGACATATATTAGAGAGAGTTTCTAAAGCTAAAACAACATTGACAGAYTACCAAAAAGGAGCACAAAACCCACAGGAAACACTGCAGGAATGTACAAACAACTGATTGCAGTATTAGAAGGGCCTATTTCCAAAGCCAAACAATATCCCTGGTTGTATTAAACACATACGGTTTTTAACCTTCAGTGTGAAAAACCTGCAATTCCTTCCTAGGGAAACTGCTTTCAACCAAGACTACAGAAAAACAAGATTGAAAAAAGCTCATGTATGTATTACTGCTAACTTGCAACAGACCCTCTACCTATTTCAACCTGTGTTATAAATTGTTCCGTATTTTTGACAGGGAMTTTTGCTCTACTTCCCAAGTTGAGCACACAATGCCTTGATTCAGTACTATCCCATTTAAGACAGAATATATTTAATCTGTTGGAGTACATCATTAACTTYTTCCTAAGTGTTACTGTTTGGCAACATCCAGCCTAATGGAGGGGGTTTATTAGCATTCATTCCACTCTAGTGCCACAGTGAAAACAAATGAATCTGGCCTTTACACCTTTTCCACCYAAGGAAGAGCTGTTCATTGAAGAGGCATCTCCTGGATCTGACTTAGGTGTATTTCAAAAACGCGGGATACCAAATCAGAATTACAAGCCTCCGAGAGGAGATATCCAARCAGTCTGTTACCTGGTGGGCAGTTGCACTCTGGAGCCGCTTCTCTCGCTACTCGTATTTTTGCCAAGTGCTCGTAAGATTTCTAGGGGACAAGAGAAGCAACATGAGGGCASTCGGCGAGCTCGCTCCGCCACAGGCAGCGCTCCCGACCGCAAACTGGAATTGACCGCTGTGCCATAGGCTGCGCAACCAGCAGCGGCTTTTTTTCTTGGACTCGGCTCGGCCTGAGGTGTCTCACTGACCTCACCACCCCCACACCAACACAGCCAAGCCCGACACCTCGGGGGTCTCTCCCACCGCCGCCCAAGTGGCCCCCGCCTTTCTGCCTTCTCGACACGCGCGGTCGGGAAGCAGAGGGACAGCGGCAAGTTCCCGATGAGAGAAGCGCCTCAGGGGCGGCGTGCTCAGGGGTCCCCCGCCATCCCCCATCCCGGGCGCCCCCGGCCCCATCGCCCCCAGGGACGCGGGCTCACTTTTCCTCGCTTCCCCCTCCACCTCCCACCCGAGCAGCTCGCTCCGGCCGCCCCCCGCCCCAGGCATCCCCATTGCCCGWCACACGCACACCAGAGCGGCCACCCCCGTCCCGTCCCGCACACCTGGGCGAGAAGTCGCTCCACTTTCTCCTGCATCATCGCGTTGAGCTGCTCCAAGGAAAAGCCGGGMAGCGGCGGGAGCGGGGCGGCGGCAGAGAAACCCCCTCGGGCGCCCTCGATGGCCGCGACCCTGGCCTGGAGGTCGCTGGTCCGCACCCCCAGGTAGACGCAGGAGGCGGCGGCCAGCGCCGAGAGGAGCGCGGCCAGCGCGGAGCCCACGGGCCCGGCCCGCCGCGGGCAGCGCTCCCCGCCGCAGCCGGGCTTCCCGAGGCCGGGCTTCCCGAGGCCGGGCTTCCCGCTGCCGCCGGGCTTCCCGTTGCCATCCTGTCCTGCGGCTCCTCGGCTCTTCCCCAGCGTGCTCGCACAGCCTTCGGCTGCGGCAGCTTTGATTTCCTTTCCTCCGCCCCCCATGGAGGCAATTAGTTTACAAACAAGGGTTACAAAAATAATAGGAACAAAGTACGAGAAAATAAATAACAAAACGCCAAAATACTGATGTAAAGGAAGAAAAAAAAAAACAAAAAAAAACACGTTAAGTGGCAGCAAAGCCCGCAGCCGGCTCGCACACTTTGAAGGCGAAGCGGCGGCGCTCCGCAGCCCTCACGCACCGCGCAMCGCCCGGCAGCGGGTCGGGGCGGGGGCGAGCACACACAGGCCGGCCACAGGGCTGGGTGCGAGACGAGCCCCCGCGGCTCCCAGCCGCCGTTCGGAGGGAGCAGCGTGCTCTGCGAGCGCTTTGCCACTTGTCAGAGAGGTTTTCAGGCGCGGGGCGGGAAGCGCCCCCCCTCCGCCTCYCGCTCCCCTCCCCGCCGCCCGAGGACTTGTTGCTCCCGCTCCACCTGCCTGCCGGCGCCCAGCAGCCGCGCCGCGCCAGGCGGGGAAGCCCGCAGGCGGCAGGCAGCCCGCGCTGCCCCGCTGTCAGCCGCGGAGCCACCGCCCCGCATCCCCGCCCTCATCGGCATAATTTATTCACCTAGGCGGAGAGGCGGCTGCGGGGCGCGGGGCTGTGTTTGCATCATGTATGCCCGGCGGGCAGGGCATCAGACTCGCAGATTAGGAGGGCGAGGGTCGCAGAGGTCTCACAAGGGRCGCCCGCGCCGGGCAAGGGGAACGGGGAAGGGGCTGCAAGGGGCGGGCGGCCCCGCCGGGGAAGCTSCGGAACACGGGGCAAATTTACGGTGGTTTATGGCTGGGCTGTCATGCCCACGGTGCGGGCATAAAGAACGCGAGCGCTCCGTTGTCCCGTTCTTTTTTTAGAGCGCGCAGGATAAACGTGTATAACTCACCGTCGCAGGCAGGCGACATGAGGGCTTGCTTCCAGAGAAGCAGCATGCATTAATTTCCCTCRTGTGAAGGCTTAATTTCAGCCAATTTTCATTCTGCTTGTTTATTTATCAAGTTGCTTCTTCACTGCTCCATGCACACTGGTCAGTTTTCKTTGTGCCTGGTTTGGTGGGTTAGAAAAGGAGCATCAACATCCAAAGAACTGCAGGGGTGGCCTGATGGGAAACTTGGTGGTTCCTGGTCCTTTWCTCTCTGCCTCTTACCTTCCAAATGCTGCATTGACCTGCTGTAGTTTGGTTCTTATCTTGGTATTACCACATAGGAAGGAGGTGCATCTCCTATAAAGCTCTTTTGTGTGGCAGTTCTTGTGTTCAATACACTTTTTGAACCAGAKAAACTTCTCAAAGCAAGACCAGACACTGAAAGAACAGGTAGCTCACCCTGTYTGGCGTTCACTTACGTGAATACTGACTACACACAGTATAAAGACATATGGGATGAAAAAGAGATTTGCCCAACTATGGCACTTCTCAGACAAGACTGAGTGTTGGTTTATACTATGAATCAAGTTTCCTTGTGGAATCATATTTGTGCARTTTTATTACCTATTGTTTCCCAAGTATTCAAGCAGTCACAACTTGCCATGAAGACGTGGATCCAAAAAGCTTTGTGGGTTGCAGTCGGATAACTTAGATTTTGAATAAAGTGTACCAGAAGTTCATAGCTAGTCATTTATTCTTCATAATTTGTCTCTTCTTGCTAAACAAAATGTTTTGTGTATTCTAGTCAGGGAGAAGAAGCCATGATTACATAGCCCTAGGTGATAGTTTGTTCACAATAAACAGKTAAGAGTTGCAATGGACAGTTTGCAAACAAATTCCACCAAGCAGCACATACCTTATGGTCAGGACTTGTGAATAACAACTGCGCTTTTCAAAACARGGACTTGCTCCCAGACTATCTGTTGGCAATAAGAAGTTGAAATAGTATTTGGAATTAATAAACTGACAGAAGAAAATAAATAATCCCCACATGCTCTTATTTGGCGCACAGCATGGGCTCCCTGAGTATGGTATGAGCTGCCCAGGCTGCCTCGGAGTGGCTGGCAGCACTGAAGCCATCGGCGCCAGCTCCAGCGCCTCMCATTACCCCCTGGTGTTAGTAGCCAGCACTATTACTCACCCTTGCTAGTGGCGACATCCAGCAAAGTAACCCTGCAAACCCTCAAGATATGATTGTCATTTTATGCTGGGGTTTATTGAGGCGCCGCTGGGAACAGGACGACTGCCCGCACCCCGCTGCTGCCTGTGTGGTGTGCAAGTGGGTGCTGCTCGTCTGGGCCAGGGTGAAAGTCCCTCCTGAGATCAGCTCTTCTTATTTCAGGGCAGATATGGACATCCTCTGGCTGCTTCAGTGCCCCATGTGGGCACAGACAGCCTTGTACCCATAGGTCCGTGTGACCTGGCTCCATGTTTTGCTTGGCCAAATGATGCCATCTTTCTGCCCAAGCATCTTTCTGTCCCAGCATCATGCCATCATGTTTACTTTGGACAAGGCATGCTCTGCACCAGAAATTCRATAGCCTGAGACAGAAAGTCCCTTGTTACATTAGATTTGCACATACTTGTTATCATAAAGATTGCCAAATGAGGCAGATCACCGTGTTTCTGTGGGGCACAGTGTGAAGCCATTTTCCTAATGAATAACAAATCTCATGCTAGATGTTTCTTATTTTGAAGAGGTATGATGAGAAACCTTTTATTTTTTTTTCTGTCTGGGACAAACAGAAAAATCTGCCATACTAGAATCAAAGTCCAAACTGGGAAAGCAGAACTCTATCCAAGAAATTGCTTTCATGCTCTTAGTGACAATGAGGAGAAATGCTAGCCCTACCTGGTCTCCCCTCTGAAAAGAGATGAGGCACATGCTTGTGTGTACATGGGTCTGCCCAAAGGTATCCTCAGACAAAGGGAAACGTGATGATGAAGAGTGAGAGGATGAAGAACAGTGTCAAGTGTTCCTCCTTGCTTTAGCTCAAAGTTACATTTTTCATTTTGCTAAAGCGTGGTTATGGGAAAGATGTCAGCTTTTTTTTTTAATGCTTAGAAATTATTTGGTAATGACAGAGTTTGAGCACAAATTATTTCCAATTGCTTTTTCTCTAATGTGTTTTCACCTAGAAACAGATAATAGAGAGTCTTTGAAAATGCAAATTAGCAGTGTCCTCTGCTTGCAGCAAAATCGTGGTGATTTTCCTGATGGAGGCATTATTTATCCACTTCATAGCAATSTTGGTCCGGAACAGACTAGACTGGACTGTGGAATCTGAGCAGCAAGCTAAATTATGCACAGTCTGATTAAATCTAGCACRGGAGTTGTTTGTGTAGGCAAAGAACATAACACAGATGTTTTACCTGTTATAAAAATCTCCRGTCACGTCTGCCTGAATCAGGAGCGTTAAGCAGCCATACCCTCCTATGCTCAGTTACTTGATACCATCAAGTGGACAACCGGCAGCTTTGCAGTAYGCTTGTCCCATCTAAACACAATAAAACAGAGGAAAAAAAATGTTAAGGCATAGCATTTGCTGCTTTTGCCAGCTTTCCACAAGCGGGAGGCAGAGCGAATCCAGGACATGCATATGTTCAGTGCCAGTGAGCCTGCTTCTTATTTTGCAGCCATGATGATGCCAGAGTCAAGAAGGCATCTACTTAGGATCATAACTAAGATTAAAACCAGATTGCTGTAGCACTTTTGAGAATGCTATCCATGCAATGAAAGAACAGGGGGTTGTTTTTTGTTTTTTAGTTTTTTTTTATTCTCTCTCTCTGACTTAAAAAACCCACTATTTTTTAATCTTTTTTTATTGGTGAAGATTTATAGGTCTTGAGTTAGAGACAGTAACTTGGTGTAAGGAGTTAAACTCCTATTCCAGAAGTAAACCAGACATCAGTTTKTATGGGCAAGCAGTAATTTAACTGCTTGCTGCCAGGAACTGTACCTTAGATGTTGCTGGTCACATTTAAGATGTTATACTATGCAATTTTAGGTTACAAAACACTCTAAAATGCCTTAAAAGCGTATTTTGTGTCTGATAGCCAGAATATAGCAGCTTGAAATAACTGTACACCAGGTATTTTGAGCTAGCCATTACACATACAGGTAGAGTATAAGAAATGGCAAATCTGCAGCACTCCAACTCAAACAATAGCAAAGAGAGGAGGATTTTAGGTAAGGTCTGCTGAAATACTCACGCACTCAGACCTGAGGCATCCATGCTTCCCACCAAGAGRGAAGTGCTCTCACTTTGAAGATTCAAATCTCTAAAGACCACATTTCAGCAGATCTTGTGATCAGGCCAAAGGTGATACACAAGATGCTGCTGCGTGCATTTCATGGATCTGTGTTTGAAGGTGTGGATGGTGTTTGCAGATAACAATTTTCCACCAGACAGGACTAGCGTCTGGAGTTTTTTCCATATTTTTGTGTCTTAGCATGCTATATTCTGGCTGACCAATCCACAGTCCACTACTAGATTTCTTTAACAGATACAACATAAACTTGTGACTTAAATTATGCAAAAACAGATGAGTGAAAAGTAAGCACTTGTCTGTTGAGCCATGTTCAATTTGTGATATATATTGCATATATGATCAGGAAAGGCAGAAGGCAGTGAATAAATACCAATAGGGATTGGAGCCTAGGACTTCAAGTTAGAACTGGGGCGACACACACAAAGACAAACGCTTGAATGGTTAATAATGGTTATGCAAACCCYTCTTCTGCAAAGGTTCCTGCTTTCAAACAGAGCTTATATATTATTCATTCTATGTGGAGTCGAATTGTATCTGCATTCCGCTTCTTCTTCCATTCATCTCTCYCCTGCTCAGTTCAGCCTTCAAATCAGAGTGCATCTTGCACCCTAAATGAGATTTAGCTCAACTTTTGTATACTTGTATGGGAAAAATGCAAGGTGGAAGAGGAATCCAGCACTTCTGAGACTTGCCTCACTTCTCAGCTCCCTGGCAGGATAGATAGTATGGTATTTCTCATCGACCTGCTCATAATACCTGCCAAGATAGCTCAGAATCACCAGAAAAACAACTTACTTCACTGTTCTGGGAAGAAAGTTGTAAAAGCCTTTCCCTTTCAAATGTCCAAATTGATTGCCTTCTGTCACTTTAAATTTAATATAAGCACA